ACATTTTCACATTTGAAATTGCACATCGATTTCTAACCACTGTGCAAACATCGTTGCACACTGTGCACTTGTTGACAAACATGCACGAGTTGAACACAGAATAGAGAGGGCAAATCGAGGACGACAGAGAGAGAGAGAGAGAGGTGGGAGGGATAGACTTAGGGAGAGGGTGAGTGAGCGCGCGCTGAGGTAGTTTGAGTTTACAACAGAGTTCAACCAAGTGCCGTTTGAGTACTCAATTCAAACTGCATTTAGCATTTGAAAAGAAAAAAATAACTACAAAACGTCAAATCGGAGCAGGGGATTTAAAAAGCGCACAAAAAAACTATAAAACAGAGAGAGAGAAATGTAAATAGAAAGGAAAGGCAAACAAAGCTCAACGTCATTTTAGCCGCGTCAGACAAGTCGTATACGTAATGGGCGATATTTGTATTTGTCGACGGCAGCAAATGTGGCCGAGGCAACTCGTTATGGCAGCTAATAATACTAGCATATTAACACATAATTTTAGCAGACGTCGTCTATTTGTTTTAGCCAACCCATGCGCAGGCAGCGGGCAGCGAGCAGCGGCCGAGAGAGCCGAGTCGAAAAGTCGGGCGAAAAGTGCGTGGCCTAAAATAGAAAAGCACGCGGCAAAGAAGACAAAACAATACAACTAGCGCACATTCAGAGTGGAGTATAGTAGCAGCTGATGGAGGCGTGGCGGGTGGGGCTGGGGCGGTTAGCAGCTCTCGAACAACAGATCGAGGAGGTAAAGACAAAAGCATTCCAAATGCCAAACAGACAGAAGACAAAACGCTGCCAGGCACTTTTATTTGCCGCCGTTTCACAAATTATTTGTCACCCCAGCCATAAAGCGAAATATGTGCCTCACACACACACACACGTCCACACACACGCACACAACCTGACTAAGTGGCCAACGGGGCGTATCAATTCCTGCGTTTTTTGGCCTCAAATTTAAGTTGCTTTCTTCTTTTTTTTTCTTTCTATTTTTCGCTTTGATTGTAATTTATTTTATTTGATTTTATGAAAATTGCTTTATGTGTGTGGCGCAGGGGGCGGGGGAGGCAGAAGCGAGAAAATATAATAAACATAAATTAGCATAAAGCGCGTTCAACACATTTTTAATAAATGCGATTAAGCGAAAAGAAGAACAAGAAGAACAACAAAAAAAAACAATATATATATAATATATAAATTTTTATGACTATTCAAAAATGCGGGGCCGAGAAATGGGCTATACTAAATCTTCGATGGCTTAGGCAATGAGTCAGCGAGTTGAATCATTGCCGCAATCAAAGTGACATAGCATAAATATACATATATATATTTGTATATATAAAACAATTACACAATACATATTGATATAATTTACTCAAATATATGTATCTATATATATATGTGTGTGTGTGTGTGTGTGTGTGTGTTGGCTGACATGCCGCATAGATAGACATGGCAAAAAGTTTGTCTTCGACATTTTGCTATTATGCCGCAAAAAGAAGCAGCAGAAGCAGAGAAAAATGTTGCACATGTCGCTCGTGTTGCACTTACCCAACTTTTATTTTAAACTGTCTGTGTTCTTTCGTGTGTTGCTTGGGCTAATTACTTTGTAATGAACTTTGACAACAACTAACAAAAAAAAAATAAATAAACAGAAAACAATATGAAATAAAACTTGCAAATTACCCTCAGCCAGCGCCTGTTTCTTGTCATATTTGTGCGCTTGAATGTCAGACAAACAAACCCCAACGCCGTCTGCCCAAATCCAATTCCGAATTCCGAATCCACCTGCAATTGGAATTGAGAAATTGGCGCTTGGACTGTTTGATGTTGTACGCTGTTGTTGCCCCTCACGCTGGCATCCACTTCACTTCATATGCTACGTTTGCCCTCAGCTCAGTTAGAAGAAAGAAGCCCGCCTCAAGCAGGTGTCTGTCGCTCTGTCTGAGTTTTTCCTTTTTTTTTTTAATTGACACTTCTGCTAATACCGCCCCACACACACACTCACTCACACACACATGCAATAACTGACTGGCATTTTAATTAGAAAATTTTTCTTGCAATTAATGCAAATTGCGTGCGTGTGCCAATTTCAATGCGCCAGTTCAATTGTGGCAACAGCAACCACCTACCTGCCACGCCTGCCCGCCATCTCCTCCTTAACCACTCAACTATAAACCCTTTTTTTCTCAATGCGACTGAAGTATGATTACATATTTGTGTGCTGGCAAATATTTATTGTATTAGGAAAAACTCCACAAAGCAAAAAAATAAATACAACAACAAAAAGACAAAAATATACAGTCGAGTGAGCAGGGTCGCAGAGGTGGGCGTGGTGGCGGTGGGGGGCGGCGCTGGCACTCATCGTGTCTGGCGAGAATATTCGTCTGATTTGTTATAAAAGGCAAATATTCATCAAGCAAATTGTGGCACAGGTGGTGGCATCTATATATAAATAAATATATGTATATATGTGCATATATTTGTGCTCTATGATAGCTCATATCTATATTTTTCGCGTAAAATCCATATCCTTTTGAATGACAATTTGGTCAACATGTTCCTCTCTAATAAATTACAAACAACAAACTCACACACACGGCAAACACACAAAAGCGCAGACAAAAAATGGTCAACGGTATAAAAAATAAAGCAGAGACAAATATTCAAATACACAAAAAAAAATAGATATATATATATATATATAAATTTTTTTTTTGTCTATAGAATTGAGCTCCGCCTGTGGCTGGGGCGTTATTTAAAAGTCGTCGCTGTCTGCAAATTCATCCATGCAAAAAACGCCACAGTTAGCTGCTTAAAAAGTTACTTTTTTAACCCCTGTATTTTCTCTATAAAGTCTATCAATAGATAGATGCAAGAGCTCGATCTAAGAGCTTTTTGTCCGAGTTCAAGGAAAACAAAGGCAGCCACAGCTACTTTAGCATCCTTAACTAAGAGCGCAACTTATCTAAGCTATATGCTAAGCCATTTTGCAACACTGAACACGCTGCACAACACTTGCATACATCAATTTTCAATCAGATTTATTTTTAAAGATTTTTTTCAACATTTCCCAGCTGATAAATGCGCTCAGCTTGAAGGCTTAAAGTCCGCTTATTGATTGTTGAGCTCGTGTGTGTGTGTATGGGTGTGTGTGTAGCAGTTGACAGTGCGAGTGCATTGAACTGGCCCAAAGGCCGCCAGTGGCTCCTCCAGTTCACATCCGCTTGCCATTTCAGCAGTTTCATTTTCAGTTCCAGTTGCTAGACCAGCTACGTCTCCGGCTAAAGAGCGCTTAAGCTGTCTGTGTCCTGGCCAAGGGCCCCGCCCACACTGTGCGTGCAGGCGGTCGTGTGGGGTCAGCCAGGTGTCATCAATGTCATCTTCGACTTTATAACACAAAAACACTTTGTAATCCCCAAATGAAGCGACGACGACCAAAAAAAAAAAAACAACGAATATTTTTATGAAAAGCTGCAAAAAAGCGAGAAAAAATGTCCGCAAAAAGCAATTGAAGCAAATCGAAAATAGAAATAAAAATTTGGAAATGTAAAATCCAATGGCTGTGGCTGCGGTATGTGGCATGTGGCATGTGGCATGTGTCGTCACTCTGCAGCCAACAAAAAATAGAAGCAGAAGAAGAAGAGGAAAAACGTTACGATCTATTGTAGTTGGTCCTTTTATCGCCTTTTGTCCATCTACGAGGCATCTAGCCAGCTGGCTTTATTGTATTTCAATGGCAAATACTTTTCAATTCGCTCGCTCGTTCGCTTCAATTGACAGCGGGCGACCAAACATTTGTCATTCATGTGTTGATTTCCGTTTCCTGTGCGCGTCCGCGCCGGGGCTCGTCCTCGGACAAGTGTTCGCTCCTTTGGGGCATCGATTATGCTTGGGCAATTGTAAAGCGATTTTCAGTTATTCCATTGCGCTAGCCACGCCCACCAGCTGCCCAGATTGATGTTTGCCACAAAAATACCACAAGGACACGCGGCACTCAAACTCAACCACTTGTGGCGATTATTTTACAATTTACCAGTCGATTTTTTCGATTGTTTTGCTGCAGCGACATTTAACGAGTGGACAACAACAACAACAACAACAACAAACACAGCAAAATAGAAGAGAAAATCCTTCATTTCAATTGAATTTGTGCAAAGCACGTTTTTTTTTTTTGTTTGTTCGTTCGTTGGCTTGTTTGTTTGTTGTACTCTTTCAATTGCAATTGAATTCACATTCATTTATTCATTTCGACTCGTTTCGTTTATTCAAGCTGGCTTCTACGGCCACTGGGCAGCCAGCTCCATTGCCCACCTTTTTGGGTTCGTGGCGCGTGCCAAATTAGCGCTTCGCTTGCATTGAACTATTTGGAGGGTCCATCCGGGCCCAATTCTCTCACATTTTTTTTTTTTTTTGCGAGCCAGCTCTTGGCTAGCTTTCACATTTGTATGGCCATTGATGTTTTTGTCCGGCTGGCTTTGTCTGTGGTCGCGGTTTTGTTGATTGAAAATCAAATGGTGTTATAATTGAGCTCTCCAGAGTTGGGGCCGGGTCAGGCTGCAGCTGGTGCACAATTCTTTATCAAATTTATGCGCACTGCACCGCAGAGTCGGGGCCAAAGTGGATTAAATGAAAGCTTTATGTATAATTTAATGCCTAGTTCGATTGGCAGGCTGGGGCATGCGAAATCCAAAGTGCATCGGGCATCAGGCATGGCTATTCAAATGCTGCGCCGCTTTATGGCCACAAATTTGCGCTGGCTTTTTGAACGCTTTATGGCTTAATTGGCCCATTGGCCCGGCCAGTTCGGTACGGAGCTGCTATCAATTGGGCTTCAATAAATGAGCTAAAACCGAAATGCGCATAAACTTTATAACGTTTAATGGGCAAGCCAATGCCACTTTACGATCAATATACAATATACAACATTAACTCATCCTCTCCCTCTCTCTCCCTCTCTCTCTCTCTGTATCGCTCTGCCTCTCTCACTCGCACAGATTCTGGACTGCCTCAGTATGCTGGTCGCGGCGCTGGCGGCGATGATTCCATGTCCGAGGATCGCCTCGCACACATACTCAGCGAAGCTTCCTCCCTGATGAAGAGCAACGTGGTCGCCGCCCAGCAGCAGCAGCAGCAGCAACAACAGGAGCATCAGCGCCGTCATGCCAGCGACGATACGCACAGCAACGATGACAGCAAATCGCCGCCACAGAGCTGCAGCTCGCCGTTCTTCAAGGTGGAGCATCAGATCAAGCAGCAGCAGCAACAGCAGCAGCAGCTGCACGTCTCTGAGCACGCGCAGCGGGAGCAACGCGAGGCAGCTGCCGCCGCCGCCGCTGTTGCCGTCCATCAGCAGCAGCAGCAGCGTGAGCAGCGCGAACAGCGTGAGGCCGTTCAGCGCGAGCAACAGCAGCGTTTGCGTCACGAGGATCTCGCCCAGGACAAAATGGCGCGTCTCTACCAGGAGCTAATGGCGCGCACACCGCGCGAAGCAGCCTTCCCTAGGTGAGTGCCGCGATTCCAACTGACACCTGTGTTAACACACCTCTCTCGCTCAACTGACTCAAGTCTCGTCACCAGCTCAAGTATTCATGAATTATTCTTTTGCGTTTTGTTGTTTTAGCTTTTTGTTGTCGCCCTTCTTTAGCGGCGCCGCGGGCATGCCTGGAGCAGCCGCCAATCCATTCCCCGCCGCAATGGCCGCCGATGAGAATATGCGCCATGCCTTCGAGCGTGAGATCGTGAAGCTGCAGCAGCAGCAGCAGCAACAACAGCAGCAGGCGCAGGCCGCCAACTTTCCCAACTTTTCCAGTTTGATGGCACTGCAGCAGCAGGTGCTGAATGGCGCGCAGGATCTGTCGCTGGCCGGCAAGGATATCAAGCTGAATGGCCAGCGCTCGGCGCACGATCAGCACAGCGGCAGCAGCAGCTCCAAGGATGGCGAGCGCGGCGATGATGCTGATCGCAGCTTTCCCGCCCTGCCACATCCACGCAAATCGGAGGGCGGCAACACACCCGCACCGCCCGCACCGCCAGCCGTCAATGCCGCCGGCAGCAGCAGCAATCCGATCGCGGGCAGCGTCGCTGTGGCCAGCGGCCATGGCAGCAACTCGGCAGCGCCCAGTCCATTGAGCAACTCGATACTGCCGCCAGCGCTGAGCAGCCAGGGCGAGGAGTTTGCGGCGACAGCGAGCCCGCTGCAGCGCATGGCATCCATAACCAATTCGCTGATTACACAGCCGCCCGTGACACCGCACCACTCGCAGCCACAGCGACCCACTAAGGCGGTGCTGCCGCCCATCACGCAGCAGCAGTTCGACATGTTCAACAATCTGAACACGGAGGACATTGTGCGACGCGTCAAGGAGGCGCTCTCCCAGTACAGCATCTCGCAGCGCCTGTTCGGTGAGTCCGTGCTGGGCTTGTCGCAGGGTTCGGTCTCTGATCTGCTGGCGCGACCCAAGCCCTGGCACATGCTCACCCAGAAGGGCCGCGAGCCGTTCATACGCATGAAAATGTTTCTGGAGGACGAGAATGCGGTGCACAAGCTGGTGGCCAGCCAGTACAAGATAGCGCCCGAGAAGCTAATGCGCACGGGCAGCTACAGCGGCAGTCCACAGATGCCCCAGGGCCTGGCCAACAAGATGCAGGCCACGCTGCCCATGCAGAAGATGATGAACGAACTGAAGCTGCAGGAGCCGGCACAGGCACAGCACATCATGCAGCAGATGCAGGCAGCGGCTGCCATGTCCGCGGCCATGCAGCAGCAGCAGGCGGCGGCTGCCCAAGCGGCTGCCGTCCAGCAGGCCCAGGCCCAGGCACAGGCTCAGCAGAGCCATCAGCAGCAGCAGCAGCAGCAGGCGCAGCAGCAGGCCCAGCAGCTGCTCCATCATCAGAATATGCTATTGACATCGCCCGGCCTGCCGCCCCAGCATGCCATCAGCTTGCCAGCGGCGAGCACGCCCAGCGGCCAGGCTGCCATTGGCAATCCGACAGCCAGCTCCACGCCCGGCAGCAACGAGAAGAAGCCGATGATGATGCCCGTGCATGGCGGAGCACATGCGCCGAATGCCATGCGCAGCCTGCACCAGCATATGTCGCCAACCGTTTATGAGATGGCCGCGCTGACACAGGATCTGGACACGCACGATATAACCACCAAGATTAAGGAGGCGCTGCTCGCCAACAACATCGGCCAGAAGATCTTCGGCGAGGCGGTGCTGGGACTATCGCAAGGCTCCGTATCGGAGCTGCTGAGTAAACCGAAGCCCTGGCACATGCTCTCCATCAAGGGTCGCGAGCCCTTCATACGCATGCAGCTGTGGCTGAGCGATGCCAACAATGTGGAGCGCCTGCAGCTGCTGAAGAACGAGCGTCGGGAGGCGAGCAAGCGACGCCGCAGCACTGGACCCAATCAGCAGGACAACAGCAGCGATACGTCCAGCAATGATACGAACGATTTCTACACGAGCAGCCCGGGTCCCGGCTCGGTGGGCTCTTCTGTGGGCGGTGCACCGCCCAGCAAGAAGCAGCGTGTGCTCTTCTCGGAGGAGCAGAAGGAGGCTCTGCGCCTGGCCTTTGCTCTGGATCCATATCCCAATGTGGGCACCATCGAGTTTCTCGCCAACGAGCTGAGCCTGGCCACGCGCACCATCACCAACTGGTTCCACAACCACCGCATGCGGCTCAAGCAGCAGGTGCCACACGGCCAGCCCGGCCAGGACAATCCCATACCCAGTCGAGAGAATACCAATGCCACGCCCTTCGATCCCGTCCAGTTCCGCATACTGCTGCAGCAGCGTCTCGTCGAGCTGCACAAGGAGCGCATGGGCCTGAGTGGTGCGCCCATACCCTACCCACCGTACTTTGCCGCCGCCGCTCTGCTCGGTCGCAGCTTGGCGGGCATTCCAGGCGCTGCAGCGGCTGCTGGTGCAGCGGCAGCTGCGGCCGCTGCCGTCGGCGCCGCTGGCGGTGATGAGCTGCAAGCGCTCAATCAGGCCTTCAAGGAGCAGATGAGCGGCCTGGACCTGTCCATGCCAACGCTGAAGCGTGAGCGCAGCGATGACTATCAGGATGAGCTGGAGCTAGATGCTAGCGGTCACAATATGAGCGACAACGAGTCCATTGAAGGTGGCCACGAGCCAGAGAACACTCCCATATCCGAGTACGAGAAGGCGCTGCAGAAGTCGGCGCTCGCCTCAGCCGCTGGCTACTTGAACAATGCGGTGCGCAGCTCGCGTCGCAAGCCCGCTGCACCACAGTGGGTCAATCCGGCTGGCGCCAGCACGCCCACGGCAGCGGGCGCTGCTATCGCAGCCAGCGATAACAGCGGCAGCGAGCGCATTATCAACGGCGTCTGCATTATGCAAGCCTCCGACTATGGACGCGATGAGGGCGACAGTGTCAAGGGCGGCGACTCGAATGCCGATGCCGAGCACGACGATCATGCGCAGCTGGAGATTGAGCAGCGCTTCATGGAGCCGGAGGTGCGCATCAAGCAGGAGGAGGACGACGACGATGAGCAGTCCTCGCACCTGCAGCAGCAGCAGCAGCAGCAACAGCAGCTGGACGATGAGAGCGCCGAGAAGCAGCTGAAGGTGATCAACGAGGAGAAGCTGCGCATGGTGCGTGTGCGGCGACTCAGCAGCAATGGCGATGCCGATGAGCATTGCGCCGCAGTGCAGCAGGCGACGGCAGCAGCGGCGGCAGCGGCAGCAGCAGCAGCAGCTGTAGCAGCGGCAGCAACTGCTACGCCAGCAGCGGCCGCAGCGTGGAACTACTAAGCTAGCAAGCAGTAGGAACTGGAACTAGAACCGGAACCGGAACCGGAACGGCAACTGGTTACCAGAGTGCAATGACGACGACGACGTTTACTTGTGATTAAGTTTGGCAGCGGCTCCACAACATGTTTAGCCACTGGCTAATAAATATAACACACTCACACATATATATATTTATATATATAAAGGCATATATATATATAGCGATATATAGCACATAAATACATATAATATATATATACCTACATATATATACATCATATTTAGAACTAGCTGTTTAAGGTCTAATTTTTTTTTTTTTTTTTTTTTCGAAGAAGTAGTTGTAGCTAAAAAAGTTTAGAGACGCTATGCGAAGCGCAGGTGCGATAGAGCAGCGCAAAAGTATTAAATTGTTGGCTTTAAACTTGCCCCCCTCCCACGCCCCTCGACCATCTCCCACAAGCAAAAACAAAAGAGAAAACGCCCCCGCCCTCGCCCTCGCCCCCCGTAAAATCTCCGCCGCAACAACTCTACCTAAAAACTCTACCAAAAGCCAAATCTGTTGAGGCGCAGATTATGCAAAAAGATTCTTTTGATTTCTTTACGACTTGAAGACTGTAAAAGCAAATGGCGGTAGAATTTTATAATTATTATTATTATGATTATGATTAAACTAATTAAAAGATTTCAACTTTCTTTCTCGTCTGCATTGTTAAGTGTAAATAGATAAACATTAAATATATATACAATATTCAACTAGCAGCTCGTGCGCCGTTCTGTAAATAGCGAAACTGTAGATGTTGACGGCCAAAAAGTATCGAAAACAAAACACAAAAGCTAAGCAAAAAAAACAAAAAAAAAAGAAAGTTTTTTTTTTAATTTTCCACAAACATAGCGAAAAGAAAAACTATACATTAGATTTCCAATTTTTTGTTTTTTTTTTTTTTTATTACTCACAAAAGTTTTTAGCTATCTTTTGATCTCAAGCAGCACACACACACTACTGTAAAATACAAAACAAAAAGAATGAACTTAAAGTCGAAAACACCTGAAAACTGAAAACGAACAACAACAAAACATGAATCCAAAGTAAAAGATAGTTAAAAAGAAACAAAAACAACAAAAAACAAAACAAAAAAAAATAATTTTACAATACGAAATGCGCATTTTTCTATATAATTTTCAACATTTTCTTGTTTTCCTTTTCATGAGAAGCAAAAATCAAGCTACCCTTAAAACAAAGCAAAGCAGCAGAAGAAACACAATAAATTTTGTAAATTTTAAATTTACGTAAAACAAAACAAAACAAAACAAAATAATGATAAAGCAAATTAAATATATATATATAAATATATATATTATGTAAACAAAATATAGCAAAATAAATGCAAATTGCACTAAATTATTATTTAAATTTAATAATACAAAATCATATATAAATAAATATATATAAAAATATATATATATATATAAATATAGTATAAGCATTATGCCGATTATTAACATATAAAAAAAAAACAAATAACAGTACTTTAAATTTCGCATTACAAATAGCATAATTTTTTTTGTGAATTAAAATATTAATATAAAAAAAAACAAGATAAATCTAATTAAAATAAAATGTAGACAAGCGCATATCGTACTAAAGAAATTTCACAAATTCAAGCGTAAAAGTTAATATTAAAATATAAATATATATATATATATATATTTAGTATATATAGTATATATACTATATCTAAGTGAGCCAATTTTTTTTGCCTAAAACATAAGTTTAAATCGTAAACGTAAACGTAAACGTAAAAAACACACTGTTTTCCTATACATAAACAAAAAAAAAACAAAAACAAAACTAAATTTTAAATATTAAAATACACATTTTTTTCGCTAGGTTAAAGCTTACAAGAAAAACAACATTTCTAAATGGCATAAAGCCAAAAAAAAATCGCAAAAAATATGAAGGAGAAGGAGATGAAAATTGCACACATACACACACATCAAACATTTTTGCATAGGCCCAAAATTTGCCGCGTTATTATTATTATATATAACAAAAATAAAAAACAAAACAAATAACTAAATTAAAAATAAAAAAAAAAAATTAAAAAAAACATATACCAAACACATTTCAATAAATAAAAAACACACACAATTTGCGTCTTCAAATTAAAAACAAAAAAATTATATTACAAAAAAAATTATAGGAAAGAAAAGCAAGAAAATTTTTTTCAAAGAAAACAAAAAAATGCAAAATCAAATTTTTGCCGCAATTTGTTGAAAAATGATTTAAGTTTTAATTTAATACTACATAAATATATATATACATATATTTATATATAAATATAATTTTTTTTATTTCGAAGTGTATTTAGTTTTTAAAGTTAACATGTTAAATACTTTGCATTTTCATACGCTTTAGCTAAAATAATAATTACAAAATATAATTAAATAAATATTTATGCATCATATTTACATACAAATATACATATATTTATATATATATATATGTGTGTATGCATATATATACACTATATACAAAATATGAAGAGAAGAGAATATGCTTAAGTTGAGAGTGAGCAAGTGTTGGAGCGAAAGAGAAGGAAGCGAGAGAGAGACAGAGAGAGAGCAGAACACACGATGAATGCTGGCAAGATTTAGTTAATAATTATTTTGTAGATCGACTATTTTTTTTCTATTGTAATAATTATGATCAATTTTTTTTATTATTATTACTATTATTATTATTATTATTATTATTATTATTATTATTATTGTAATAACGATAAAAACAAACAAAACATACCAATAATACATGAACATAAATGAAACTTTATCAAATAAAAATGTTTTCTTAAACAAAAAAAAAAAAACAACCCCATCGAAATTCCTTTTTTCATTTTGCACCATTCCACACACACACACACACACGTACACAGAGAGCTATACGGGTGTATGTATGTCTGTCATATCTAGGGCCTTATAATTTGTTCTGATGTGCCCAACTGTGGCGCTACGAGGCGCACATGCAAATGAAATGCTGCAGAGGAACTACAGTACTCGCTAACTAATTTAACTCACACACCTGCCTACCTGTCACACACACACACGCACACACAGGGTTTTGCTGTGTGAGCCAGAAGAATCCGCAACGAAAACGTTACAATTTTTAAGAAAATTACATATATATAGATATGTATCTTCAGCTATATATGCATGCATGATCTATAATTTTATATTACAAACACACACACACACACACCTGCACATCGAATATATGTAGAGTTAAAGATGAGTATATTAACAGAAATACGCGGTGCTAGCCAAGTTTACATAAACAATAAACGAGAATAGCGAGACGCAGCTACAAGTTAAAGCAGATATCAGCTAATAGATGCAGTTATACAGTTATATAGTACAGCTATATATATATATAGATATAGATATATATATATATATATACAGCTAAGTAGGCAGTGAAATTTTTTGCATAGGTTCAGTAGAGTTGAAACATACACAAATATATATATATATATATATATATATATATATATACATATACATACTTATTAGAGCTAATGCATAGACACACATATATGACAAGAAAACTCTCCAAAAATAATATGAATAAAGAGGAAGAAATATGAAAATATTAAAAAATGAATAATAACAAAAGAATACGTAATTAATTTTAAATTGCAAGCGAGTAATGCAAACAAGCAAATCAAAATATATTATATATATATATACGTACATATATATATATATAGATATCATTCAGTATCGATAACTGTAAATAACGAAATGTATCTAGTGTAGCGAAACAGAAATCAAATACAAATTGCATAAGAAATTATCCTTCCAATTCAACACGAAAAGCAGATGGAAAACAAGAAAATGAAAACATTTGCCAATTTACACAAATTACGAATTAAAAATATTTAAAAATACATAGAAACAATTTTTTTTTTGTATGTCGAAAATCAAATTAGTAGCCGATTGCAGCGAGTTACAAGAATATATATATATATATATATATATATATATATATATATATATATATATATACATACATATACACTCACATACACACATTAACAACAAACAATCAATAAACAACAAAAATATAATTTTTTTTTGTTTTTGTGAAAGAAAATTGAGAGAAAATGTATATAAAATATATATATATATATATATATATATATATATATATATATATATATATATATATATAAATGTATAGAAATACACATATATATATATACATATATATATATATATATATATATATAAATATATATATATATATATAAGAGTTCACATCTTTAAAAACAGACCATATCAACATTTTATATATATATATATATATATATATATATATATATATATATATATATATATATATATATATATATATATATATATATATATATATATATATATATATAAAATGGTATTTGTGTAGTTAAATATACAGCTATTTTACCATTACACAGACAGACACATGCAGTCAGATATTATATATGTGTGTATATACATAATCTATATATATATATATATATATATATATATATATATATACTCATATATAGCACACATAAATGCGAGTCTGAATCATAAAAAACATATTCAATTGAAGCAAAAGCCGTAGTTAACACACACACACAGCGATACAACACGCACACACACTCTTCTTAGTTTTCAGATCTTTCAGATTATGCAACAAAATCAACAAAACAAAACACGAAAAAACAAACAAAAAAAAAAAACAAAACAAAACAAAACACAAACCAAACCGTTTTCAGTTTCAAATCCGCCCAGCAATAAAAGAAACTTACCAAAAAATAAAAAAAAAATTAACCACAATTAAAAAGAAAGAAAAAACAAGGTAAAAAATTACACAAAAATTATTAAGCAAATGCGCCCAATTCTAAAAAGCAAAAATCAATTCAAATTTAAAACATTAATAAAGCAGCAAAAATATCAAAAACAAAACAAAATTTTAGAAATATATACATACATATATATATATATTTATATATATGTAAATGTATATATATGTGTATTTATATATAACTGAATAACAGTTAAAAGAATATTAACTTAGTGGCCTAAAATCTAAGCACTCGACACTTTGGCAAAGGCATTCGAAATCGATAAAAATTTCTAAACTTAAGCAATTAAATCCATTATGAAATTCAACAGCAAAAACATAAACAATAA